TATAAATAAAGCACTCTTCCATTATTATGTGGATCTTTCTCCATATTAGAAAAAGAAACATAGAAAGAAGAAACAATTTATTTAATCGGATCACCGATTGTTGTCTATACCGAAATTTTCATCTACGTTACACCATCCCCTGCTTAAAACTGTTACGTTTCGTAACAATCTCATTATACTAGGTCATTCGATACCTTTATTGCATTTCTCTCGCTCTCTCACACATAAGTGAAAGCCTCACTGGTGACTTTCATATTTCTCTGTCCAAAATTCAGGATAACCGCTTCATTAGGGAACTGAATGAAAACTAATAAAATTATTTGCAACTTCTGCTAAACAGGAAATTTTTGAGAAAATGCCACGTCACTTTCTTTGTTAAACAGCTTGCAATTCATTCTTTGTGCGGAAGCTTTTTGATGGTTAAATTTCCCTTACAGCGTGTCCCAGAATTGCATGGTATTGTAACGTAAATTGAATTTATTTACAATTAATTATCAATAAATTTTAATTCTTAATTCTTAAATCTGATTAATTTATAACAGTAAATACAATTTATCACTCACAATTTATAATAATATAACAAGAACGCATTGATGTTGGAACTGAATTCGAAACACAATTGCTTATATAACAAAGAACATTCTTTCTAGAATGTTCTTAGAATGTTCTCGAGTGCTCAAGGACGCGTCAATATGTTCTCGAACACGTGATATTTCTAGAAATGATTACGTCACGGTCACATCCACCTTCGTTGTTTATCGCCGATGATTAATCTTTAATGGCGCCTCGATGTTTATCGGGATTTCTGGAATGTTCGCTACAGTATCTATGACGATAGCGATTAGGTTAAATGGTCAAAGTTTTGTGAGCACACTAGAATTCCGTTTAGCAAATTTGAAAAACCAGGACCAATAGAAAGTTATTTAAAAAATACTGAATCAATACCGCATCAACCTTTTTAGCGCATTTTTGAAGAATTAGAAAAAATGCGCTATTGTTTGCGTTTTGTCCGTCTGTCCGTACGTCCGGACCCACTTCTGCCGTTTCGAACTACTTCTAGGGGAATGGTCCTAGAGTCCTGGAATGTTTTGTAGTAGGTAGCCTATACTACCTTGAAAGTGTGCCAGACGGCCATCAAATTTCGCTATCTGTAAAACGTGCATAACTTTTACATACGACAACCAATTGATCTCAGATTTTGCATACGCATGGCTTTAGTGGTGCCAAGTTAAACTTTAAAAAATGGGTAGAGGGGGGGGGGGGGTAAACACATGTTCTACTCCTCATGGTATTGTAATTAAAGGTCTCAACGAAAAGAACCGTTTTCTACCAACTATTGCCCTTCTTTCTGTTCTCTTATCAAAGTACGGGGCGGAGGGGGAGGGGGGGGGAGTAGTGGAACTAGTTTTATCCTTCATGGTACTCTAATGAAAGGTCTCAACGAAAGGAATTAATTTCTACCAACCATACCCCTCCTCCTCGACCTCTTATCGTGATCGGGTATATTCCCTTATACCTCAAGAACGGATTGTCGGAAGAGGGTACTCACAAAGGGCGATTGAGACGTCTGCTAGAAATATACCCAAGGATTGGTGATGTCAAAACAAAAGTTATTTCGTTTAAAAA